TCTAAACATACATTACCTTCTTTCAAACTTGTGTTTTCTAAGCATGTCCTTGCATTCAGGAAAGCAAAAGAAGGACACAGTGTATGCCCCATTGTCTCCAGATACTTTGAGAAAGTGGAAGATGGCTGAAATGTTTTAAAATTAGTGAATCAATATTTAGAAATACCACCACCAGCGCATCAACATCCTCCAAGCTAAGTGAACAGAAAAGACAGGCCATTGCTGTGACGTTCATTGTTACATTTCAGGTGTTCACAGCTTCCTGGAGCAATCACAAGTTCTGAGTCTTCAGAATTAACTATTACTATAATAATTACTATTATATAGTAATTTAGAAATACAGAAGCAAACATATTCTCCTTTTTTGTTACATTAGGACAGACTCAGAAAAGCTTGCTAGGTTTTATGGAAATCAAAGTCATGGACGACATGACTTTTAGGATAAAAAATATGTGTATTAGAAGATCATGTAAATTAATGTTATTGGGATGTAGTACTCTTTGGGAAACTTTTAAAAGGCTTTTTCTCCATTATAATTTTTAGGACACTGCTTTTTGCAGCAGCAAATGCAAACATAGTGGGAAGACTAAGCATCAGTTTGAGGACTGCAAAATCTACTACCTTCTGAAGAAAATTTTTAAGTGTATGTATTCACATTACAGTCCAGTCTCCTATTCTTCCTCAGTCCTTCAGTCCATTACCTAGTTGCTTATCTGTGAATCATTATTTAAGTAGCACGGCTTACCTTACTCAGTCTCACCCTGCTTTGTTGGTCTTCACAAGCTTAACCCGCATACTTGGCTTGATGCAAGGACTTAATTTCTTGTTACTCATCCTCACTAAACTTTTCCCTCTCTCAGTCTTTCCACTATCCCAGCAGGAAGAGATTTGAAATGATCTTAAATTCATATTCACTGTGGAGTATACATAGACTGCTAACCATTCCCTAGTTCACTTTCCTGAAATCTTCTGGAAAGCACAGATTTTGTTACCATAGAGCAGTTGCCAGAGCAATCCTAAGTAAGAAAATACAGCTTATGTGA